AATTTGAAAAAGTAACCACAGTCCACCTTGACCAAATTATTTCTGTCAATTTTTTTTTGAGCTATTTCTATATTTAGTAACTTGAACAGACAAATGTATCACATCAAATTTATTTTTTATTGTCTGGCTTTCTTTTAAATATACTTCTTCCAAAAGTGTGTGTAAAAAAACAACTTAGACTATTATAATATTTATTTATCTACACTTTTTTAATTAATCATTTATTTTTAATATTTTATCATAACAAAACAATCCATTATATTGATGAGGACTTCAAGTTTCAACATTAATTTCTATTCAGCAGTGCTGTGGATTTCATAGTTATAGCCAGTTGGCTAGTTCTCATCTGGCTAAATTTTATTGGTTGCTTCAGTTAGTGCGGTCAGAGGACTCTGTTAGGCCTGCAACCAAAATTAGTTTCCAATTCTCCTTTGATTTAACATTTCTGCAGTCAAAAATGTTCAAGTTGAAAATCTTTTTTGTCACAAAAATTGATGAAGAAGAGGCTAGTTGTTATGGTGCGTGCAAGTTCTCCCAATGATAATTCTTCTTTTCTCTACAGCAAACTGCATCCTTGGGTCAAAGTCATATGGCTTATATTGAAGAGCTCTCATGATGAGTGTAGCTCAAGATAACTGATTAATAATTCATTAGGCTTGATTACACACTCTTCCAAATTTGGTTTGTTCAATTCCCTATCCAGTTTCAGCATTGCTACTTTGCAATTCCATTGGCTGAGGTCCCTCTCACTACCACCATGCCATCAGATAACTCTCGTTAGGCCAATAAAATCTTTAGTGAAAAATAATTTTTTAGCGTGAGTATTATTGATATTTCATATGTGACTAATAAAATCCTTACAGCCACATTTCCTATGAAACACAATAGTAATTAATCATGACTCCACAATAAAACCTTTGTTCTTTTCCAGTTTCATTTTATAGATGGCTCAAAACATATTTTCTCATTTCATAATTATTTTTTTCCCCTTTAAAGTGCTTTAAATACTTTCATCCAAATTGATGGAGTCACTAAACAAATGACCTCTGTGTCCATAATTGACAGATGATCTCCCTTTGCCCAGCATTCTGAAAGATTCCGGAATCCAGCAAATATTATCTGACTTCTTTTAGCCAAATTAGAGTTTATTTTTTGCTAATTCTGGGTCCACTTTTCAAAATTTTTATTTTTATCCTTTACTTTGTTCAAAATAAATGATTTTATTTTGTATAAATTAGATAACCACAAAGTATTTCTGGTTTACTTGTAAAATCAAAATCATCTAGATTGATCTTTCATGACTTTCACATTAAACTTGCAAGGTTAATACCATTCTGACTGGCTATCAATTGTAGATTTCTCTTGCTTGTAAAATTCAGACTAGTAATTAAAACAAAGAGGAAGCATTAGTCAGGCACCAGTATTTGAAATCTTTTTGAAGTATAAGGTTCATTGAAAGATACCATTTGCAGAACATGAGATCAGCTTCCAAAAAAAAAAAAAAACAATTTTCCACAAATATAATAAAAGAAAATAATTTCAAAATTGTAGTGTGAAAACAAACACAGGTGTAACTTAACTAAAAAGCTTAGAATGAAGTGTGTCATATTATAGCAATCATCACACACACATACATACCTACACAAATTCAAATTTCAATAACAATCATTCATTGGATAGAAATCAACGCTGCTGTCTTATGCTACAATTTTATAGTCGCTATATTTTCATGTAGTCGATTTTGTGCACTTTTGGAAGAATTGGATCCCAAGAGCCTTCTTAGCTTAGTAAATATTTTCAGAAAATATCAGCTTCTAATTGGTCAATAAACACACAAGTGGGCGTTGCAATCCACCCACACACAATATATTTTTCCAGCACGTGATTAAGTCAAGTTTCCTGCCAAAGCGCTGTGAGCCTGTCACGTGACTACATTAGCTATAAATAACAGACATGAGTTCACTCATTCTCTTTTTTTCTCTCTTTTTGCTGCAAAATGTAGTCTCAAAGAACTATCGTCTTGACCTTGCAGTCAGACGTTAAATAACATTTCACACATTCACGTACGTATGAACTCTTACGAACTTCTCCAAAATACGAATGTTCACACAAAGTTAAAGGACAAACAAACAAAACCTATATATATATATATATATATATATATATATATAGGTTTTGTTTGTTTGTCCTTTCTTCACATCAGTTTGGCTTCCTAATCAAAATTAAATAAATGTGGTGGAAGTCTACCACACTATTGGACTTAAATAATCCATGCCACAGATACATTTCAATATTTTTTAAATGTTCTAAATATCAATTCATTAATTGTAGGATAGTTTTTTTTTTTTTTTCTGTAATAGAAACACTAGGATTATTCTCCTTAAATATTAGCTTCATAAAAATCTTGAAACGGCTATTTTCATAAAAAAAGAAGACATTCCCACCTAGAGTCTCCAGTGCAAAGGAGATAACTTTTTAAACAGCAAAAGTTTGTTATACTTACAGACAAATAAACTTAAATACTTTAAAAAGGTGGTAAAAAGGGTGAATTCAATATTTGGATCAGAGTGGGGCCCAAAATGAAAAAAAAAAAATCACTTCTATTTGAGTTGTCACATTTTAATTTACAAAAAAGTAAAGTTACAAGAAATTTACCACAGACCCAATAATTTAAATTATTTATTATCGAAAAAAAATTATGTTCAGAATATGAGGCTAAGTAAGATATTCTAAGGGAGGTAATTCAATATTTAACATGCAAAAAAAAACAAAAAAAAAACCCGTTTCGGACGCTAAAATAGAAGATATCTGGATACATAAATTTGGATATCTTTAAAAATAAAAATAGAAATAAAATAAAAATGAAACAAAGAAAATGCTCTGTTCAAGCAGAAAAGGAGGAGTAACATTCACGCCATTTTAATAATCCGCGCCTGCAAAAACGAGAATACACGATGATTAGTCGATTTTTTTCAAATTGCAAATTAACGATAAACTTTAAAACTTGAATAATTTTTCAGAATAAATTAAAATATTGACTCTTGGCCTTACACGATGTCATTATTCAATAACTGTGATGAAAAATTATCAATCTGACCCCTCACCACATAAATATAACAATCCGGGTTTTTTTTATTGACCATACCATCAGATTTTTTTTTTTTTTTTTTTTTTTAGTGTCAAGATCTGCCGGTTTGACAGGTCCTGTTGCTAAGCAACACATGTCTAAAAATAAATAAGGAGATATTATTATTATTAATCAGCTGAACAGCCACTTGGACGGAATGCAGTCCAAGGCCGAGTTTAAAATGGAAATTCCACGCGTACATGCAACCAGAGGTTAAAAAATATATATAGTCCTGCCTACTTGGCATTTCACCTTTTGAAAACGTCTCACTCTATTCCGAGAGAGAAGTGGTACTGGCCGGGGAGAAGACCTACCCGAGAATAGACTTAATTAATTTTATGCCTCACAGCACAAATAATGATATTTGCTTTTCGATGCCTGTGTTTAATCAGCTACTGATCACTAACATTCATGACTGTTGTTTCTCTTCTATGTATGGATAACCGTATTGGAAAGAAAATATTTTTTTTTTTTTTTTTTTACACTTCGACATTTAGTCCATTTCTATTTTTAAAGTAACACTTTACCTAAAAATAAGAGTTAAGATTGCAAATATAAGAAATTATTGCACTTTTGAATCCATGTAATAACAATTTCTTTCTTCAAACGATAACTTATGTAATGGGACAGTTGTTAATTTTGTTTTCTCTCATACTTCCTAGCGAACCAGTTCATTTCGCTTCACGAGTCGACCTTATATCCATTCTAGGTCTACGTACAATTTGAAACATCGTGTCTACAAAAAGTTCCCAGCGGCCTGAAAGTTAATTTTACTGTAAAAACACTGGAAACTTTTGCACTTTGCACACATCTACCTAATATTCTGAGTAATAATAAAAAAAATAACAGGTTTGTTTTACTCACTGGAAGAACTGAAAAATTAAAAGTGAATTACCCGTTTGATCATCCATACATTGCATTGAAATACTTGCAGTTCAAGATTCAATTATTCAATTTTAAAATAGATCTTCCTTGAATTGAATTAATGAAAATATTATTAATTACAGCAAAAGATGTGTATTTTATGTGAACGGTTGAGTCCAGTACAAAACCTCACAGATGTAGGGAATATCAAGTTATTATGGTGTCTGGCGTGTGATTAACTTCACTTCATTCTCTACGACCGAATGAATGGCTGGACAATTGTACAGTCGAGCACACTGATTTCGATTTACAACTGTAGTGAGTTCGATCCTTACTGAGTGTTAATGCACTTGTTGCTTTGTGTTAAGTTAACGCTAAATAAAAGCCATATAGTGCTTGAAATATTTTAATTTTTGTATTTGCAGCTTTTAAAAGAAAAAAAGGTCATGTACTAAAAAAAACATATTTAAGTCTGTAAATTAAATAAATTTCAAATATTTAACGTAAAACTGATATTTAAAAAAATGATTTAAAGTTAAAAAAACTGTTTATCGAAAAATAAGATAAAAAATACTTGAGATTCTGTGGAATTTGTGTTTAAAATGTATTCTAACATCCTTTTTTTTATCGACCAACACTATTTTTTTTTTTTTTAAATAAAAAAAAGAAGTAATTAACCCCCCACCCACTATGTCTAAAAAGATTAAAAAAAAACAAACTTTCAGACGAGTCGTAGGATTTGAATTGAAGTCTAGAGTTGCACTTGAAAATGGGTAGGGCATCTTTCATTGGTTATTTGAACGGACCAATCAGAACCCAGAAAATTGCATTCAAAAATTCATTTCAAAAATCGTGTCTTGACATGTTAAGGTCGCTTCGATGACGGTGCATTGAACGATTTTTCATTCATCATCAATTATTGTTATTAGGCTCGCGATTTTATTTACTAATTAATATTGTGTTTTCTACAAGTAATTTTCGGCGACTTTGTTGCCTATTGATACGCGAGACATTTGTGTGACATTTTTCTTGCTTCTGTTGCAAATATGACGAACTTCCAGAAACAGATTTACTACTCGGAAAAATACTGCGATGAAAATTATGAATACAGGTAAATAATTTGTTTTTAAAAGGCTTTTTTTTAAATTTTATATTTTGGCCCTGATATTAATTCTGTGTCGTAATTTGTTTGCTTGTTTGTAAACATTTGTTTTAAATGTAAATTTCCTGACTTAATCAAGAAATTGTCTGAGAAGGAGACTTTATTTTCCTCAGAAATAAAGTCAGTTATTTCTTTATTCTTTATTTTCAATGTTTTATTTGAAAACTTTTTTTTAATAACACTGACTTTGTTGAACTCTTATGAATTTTTAGTTTCAAATTTTAAAATCATCTGCAGTTGAATTTGAAACTTTGTTTTCACTTCTCACGGTGACCACGACGACGATTATTCAATTCATTCATTTTTTTTTTTTTTTTTTTTAACTTTCTTCTTTAAGTCTACTTTAAAATTTCCGTAAATTTTTATGTACAAAATTGTTTTTTTATTTGCAACTTATCCTTTGTCAAAGCATATTTTTAATTTTAATTAATTACTATTTCACTGAATTGTGTGTTGGTATTCTTCACCGAACTGACATTTTTTTTTGTTACGAGAAATGTTTATTCATTACATTTAATTTCTAATTATTGCTTCTTTTTTTTTAATTTTAATTTACACTTAATACAAAATTGATTTTTTTTTTCCTTCTTCTTTCCTACAAAGCAAAGTACTGTTAAAAGACTGCAGTTACTAGAGTAAAAGAAAATTTGTTTAATTTTCTTCTTTCATCTTCTAAAATCTCGATGTCGTTTTTTGTTTTTTTTTTTTTTTTTTTCTCGGATTTGTTAATACTCGACTTACAAATGTAAATTAAAAAAAAAAAAAAACAACTGTACAACTTAAAGAAAAAAAAATCAACTTGGCGGGTATATTTCATTTTAACGTTTCAAACTATATTCTTTTTGTACCAAATTATCTCCCTTAATTTTTTTTGGGAACGACTCATATTCTGATCCGTTTTCTAGATTATAAACATGCATTCAAAATAAAAACATTTGCGATTCATTAATAATTTACAAAATTTTTGCCTTATTCCACTTTTTTTTTTTTCCAAACTTCACCATGACGCCCCCCCCCCGTTGTGGCTTTTCAAAAATTTATCGTTTTTTCAAAAGATGAAGAAAAAAAAAAAAATTTCAACCTAATGTAAATTTTTAAAATAATTTTTTAGGCGTTATTTTGTTTTCATTCTAATCTATGAATATCTCGAACGATATTTTTGTTTAATAAAATTTGTCACAAATGAATCAATTTTGGTTTCTTTTTACGAAAACAAAGTTTAAGTTGCATTTTTTTTTTTTATTTCGAAAATAAACCTCGTGAATTTCAAGAAATTTTGTGTTACATTATTAATTAGTGCTTGGTTATATAAAATCGTTTGAAACGTTAAAAGGAACTAAAAGTCGGATTTATAAAATAACTGACAGAAAACAGAACCACGTTTAAGAAAAAAATCCGTGACAAAACGAAATAACGGACATTTTATTTATTAAAAAAAAAACTTTTTTTTAAATAAATTCTTCGTTTATCGCGTAACAAATTATATGTTTTTTTTATTATCTTCTACAATATTTTTATTGTAATTAAGTCTCTAAGCCACCAGTTGTTATTACTAAGTTACTAGTGATCGATAAATAAATATTTAGTCTGGCCATTTTAGACAGAATTAAAGACACGCATTCAATTTAACTTTTTCTTTTATACTCTGATTTTCCTTTTACACAATTTAATTCTCCCTACCCACTTTTGTTGTAAGAAACAAAAGCCAAAAAAACCCTGACCCTAATAACCTACAAAATAAGTTATTTTTTTTTTTTTTTTTTAAACTTTTCCCTGTACAACAAGAAGTCTAATGAATGTGTGAGGCTGTATTGTAAATTATTTCATGGACATGGCAAAAAAAAACAACAAAAAACCCTGTTTTCTTTGCATGATTCTTGCTGATACTCGATTTTCTCCCAAGTAAAAACTCTCTCTCTATTCAATATACGAAAAAAGATTCTACCTTCCTAAGTAGTTGCAAATAGTGTGACCTGAGAATATAACTTATAAATTGCTCCTGATAGGACATCTTTTTTTTTCTTCTTCTTCAGTTCACTTGACCGATTCTATACACGATTGAAAGTTGCATTCTGTTTTCTCATTGCTGTGCAGTTGTAGTGTCAACTGTAAACTAAAGTATTTGTCTTAAAATAAAATTGAACATTACATGATCTCTCTTCGTTTTTCTTGACAAACATCACCGACAATGATTAAAAAAGTTATTTCATTTTTTCCAGACATGTCGTCTTACCAAAAGAAATAGCTAAACTAGTTCCCAAAAATAAATTGATGTCAGAAAGTGAATGGAGAGGTATTGGTGTACAACAGAGTCAAGGCTGGATTCACTACATGAAACATGACCCAGGTGAATGTTTCTATTTTTTGTTTTATTTTATTTATTTTTTTATTTGTCTAAAAGGAAGGAATTTTTTATCAACAGTAGAGAAAATAATTTTACGAGTAGGAGTTGTTTGTTGTGTTGCTGTTTTTTACTAAAAAAAAAAAAAATGACATGTTCTTACTGCTAATGAATGATAGGCTAAATAAACTAGACATAGCCCCACTTAAAGTAAATATACCTTCTTGTGTTCATTGGCTCTAATGTTTTATAAAGTGGAATTCTTTCTTAGATGTGACCATTGACTTAAGGATAAAAATTCAAGTACAGGAAATATAACAATACAATTGCAAAATTAAACTTTTTTTTTTTTCTTTATACAGTACAAATCGATTTAGCATCGATTAAAAATTAATTTACTAAGCGTTAAAATAAGTAAATAATAGTTCTAAGTTTTTATTCTTAGAATTGTGGAGCTTTCTATATTTGTTATACTCGATGAGTTGTATTCACAAATCTCAAACTTTCCGGTCAAGGTATTAGTCATAAAATAACACAATACAATATAGAACTATTTTGATTAATTTACGAGAAGCAGATATTGATAAAATAAATTGTTTATTGCGAAACATATTTAAAATCTGAACTTGATGAAATCAAGATTCCACGCTCTATCATGCACACGTATCACATGTAAAAATCCCAGTGTCTCTTCTTGATTGTGCACATGTGTAGTCGCATCAATATATAAACAAACTCAATCCAAGCAAATCTTAAGGGATGAAACACGTCATATGAAAACTTTTTCCATTTTCTCATACATCTTCTCTCCAAAAAACTGTTCTTGATATATAAAATGTCTATATTGTTATCTCATGTAATTTGCCTGTAATTATACAGCAATTGTAATAGTAGTTCTGTATATTATAGCGCTTCAATTATTCCTACAACTTCAGTATCCAGAATTTTATTGAAGTTAGGCTAAATTTTTCATGCTCTTGATATATCACAGTGAGTCCTAAACTTTTTGGGGTTGCCACCAGCTTGTGTACCAAAACACTCCTAAGTTTCCCCCACAAATGTATAGTCAGACTCTGATAGGTTTTTTTCTTGGTACTAGTATTGCATGTCAAAGGAGTGTCTTCATATTTCCCATAATAATTGTTACACTGTAAAGTGAAGGCAATATACACTTCAAGTACAGTGTGTGTGTCTGTCTGTCTGTCTATTTGGTGTATGTTATAGTTCTGATAGGCTGCCCACTTTCCACTATTCCAGGAAGGTGAGGGTGACATACTCACTCACCCTGGGAATCACTTGTGTATTGTGTGTAATTTGGCTTTTTTTAATTTCTGTCTAAATTTCTGGGATGAGGAGTTATCATTATTTATATGCAAATTATTGTCCCCATCTTTTTATAAGTGGTCACACATACCAACAAGTCGTAATTGACTTAGAACTTATCCTTCAGAGTAACAATTACCTTGCAAACATGATATCAGTTTCTGTAGTCAGAAACAGAAGGGTTAAAGAGGGACAGAAAACTGCCATATTCTGTCTTCCTTATGTCAAGAGTTTATCAGAAAAGATTTGGAAGATCTGTAAGCCATACAACATCAGGACAATATTCAGAATCAGCAGTTGTGGCAATAGATATAAAAGTGGGGGGAAACTAGCTACCCACTAAAAGTATGTGTAATTAGGGATGAGACAATGAAATCAGAAATTGCTCATCATGTATGGAAGGAAAATGGTAGTGATCAATACCCTAGAAATGGAGCATATTCTAGGCTATGAGGAGATTTTTAGTAGGCCTAGCATAGATATAAATATGATGTGGGAGCTATTAATAAAGAGATGTGACAGCAAGACTTCAACAGTCAATTACCAAGTGGATTAAATTTGATGACATAGTAATTGCAAGTTCAATTCTTGTACTAAATAAAATCTAGATATCAACAAACATGGGCAGCAGGGCTAGAACAATCTTTCATGTCTATTAAATAACAGGCTCAGTTCAATATTCCTTGAATATTATTTGGATCAACAATAACCAGAGTGTACGACAGCTGAGACCACATGATAACAAAACATGGTCAATACACCACATGTAAATATAGGCTCTTAATATTGAAATTTGGTTGGCATATTTACAAATAACTTTTTAAACTTTATCAGCTTGTTTTTTGCTATAGTAAAATGTCTGAACCTGGTTTGGTGTTTTACTGTTTTCATGACAGAATTAAGTATTTACTGCATCATATAATTTCAAAATGGTTGAAAACTTCAAGGAAGATGGCATGAGAAAATTAGCCTTTTTGTAATATAAAATATGTAAGTAAGCCAAAAAATCTGAAAGTTATTTTGAATTGGCTTCATTGATTATTTTCATAGAATTCAGTCAGTCTTTTTAAATTATTTTATTTTTTTTTATTCCATGTCTCTGGTCATATAAAAAAGGTGCTGAAAAATTCTTGGTCTGACCAAGAAATTTAAAAAATAAAAAATGCATCTAATATTTGATCATATTTTTGGGAAGTGGGTTTGTTTTTAATTAAGTTTCAATTGTTAACCTAAACTGTACAAACATAACTTTTGAGTAATTAACTATTCTGAAATTAGCATTGTTCTTTCTTTTCAGAACCACACATCTTATTGTTCCGACGACCCCTGCCAAATGAAAATGGAAGTGCCCAATAGAATCTCTGATCTTTCTGTTGTAGATTTTCATTCTTGATGTATGAATCTGACTATGAATGTTCACTGGCGAATATACTTGGCTAAATTCTTTCCTTTTTTTTTTTTTTTTTTTTTCTTTTCCTATTTACATTTTGTTGTAATTCTTGTAAATAATAATAAAGATGATCTATCCAAATAAACAAAAATATTCTCCATTCCTTTGCCCACCCACTTTTTCCCCTCACAAGTTTCTTAAATTCTAGCAATCTTGTGAATTTTCCTTTGTCTCTGCAAAGAAAAATACTAGTTTCTAATTACATTAAGAAATATATATTATTACTTTGCTTACTGCATGGTACGGCAAGATTATATTGCTGATTATATTCTGGAGGGAGATTTCAGCTTAAGAGATTAACTACAAACAGTTTAATACTTGCTTTTATCTGAATCCTATAGAAATAATGTTAGCATTGAATTTGTTAAACATTTTCAGCCAATCAACAGTTGATCATCTACTAGAAGAAAATAATTTTAAAGGTACTATAATTTATGCATCCATCAAATGGTGTCATTTATTATTTTTTTTTTTTTTTTTTTTCCTTTTTGTGTAGATTAAACCAAATCTAAGATTCATTCAACTTTGTGCCAAGTAAAGGCTGCAAATATTGAGTTGGACCAAAAAATTGTTAGTTTGTAGATTAAAATGGTATTTAGTCGCTTCCAATCTTCACTCTTGTATTGTTGGCTGATGTCACTCCCTAGTACTGAGCTGAAGTATCAGTAATGCTTACACTGGATAAATGAAGTGATTTTTTAATGCATGCAAATTGGATATGCTATTTATACCTGCATTTACAATTCCAATATGGCACCTGGTGAAAAATAAAAGCAATGTGCAGCTGCTTGATTTTCTAGGTTATTTATATTAAATGGTTTTTATTTATTTTGAAAACAAGTTTTCAAAGATCTTTATTTTAAAGCAAAATATTTAGAAAAAAATGTAACAAATCAATTTCCTTTTTTGAGAAAAGGAAAGTGTTGTTTGTGTATATTTATTCTTTTCTATTACTATAAAAAATTTCAACCATTAATGTAAGAAATGTCTTGCTTATTATGCATAAGCATCTTTGAATTCAACATGAGCAGTATTCTCATTCATTATTTTGAACAGAAATACAAGTTTTGCATTTTATTTTTCCAGAATGTTTTTCAAGATTCTTGAATAATTCTTTCCAATTATGCAACATTTCAGAAACGGTGAATGTATCAGTGAATTTTATTTAAAGCTTAAGCTATTGGTGAAAACCAGTTCTTGTGTTTACTGCTTCACTGCAAGGTTGGTCACCTTATTTCTTACTAGTGAATCTACTCCATCCCTGCTAAAAATTGGAAGAACATTGGCCAGTTGTTTATAGAACTCTTCAGTCTGGCAGTGTGTTCTATTGAGTCTCCTGGACCATTGACAAGACATTGACCACCTTGACTGTATCTCTCTGTCATAATGATTGTTCCTAAAGTACTGAGTTGAACCGGGGTTTTTTTCACATTTCTGCCTTTTTAATAGTTCAGATAAATTAAATACGAAAAGTGTTTATTCATCAAATTATATTTTTTTGTCTGTTGCCATTGTTGTGCCAGAAATTTGACTCCACACTTGAGTAATTTGAGTAAATTTAGTGGTTAAAAAAAACTGCACACATTGTGTAACCTCTGTCTACACAGGAATTAGCCGTGACTGAGAAAAGGTGATAATTTGATGGTGCATGACTGTATGCAGCTTGAGGCAGCACTTCATAAATCAACGAAAACAAAGTTTTGTCTCAATATGTTGTTATTAATTGAAAGCTAAAGCATTAAATTTATTACTTACAGTATGTAACATATTCTGGTGTCTTTCAGATAGGAATTATATAGATTGGAATGTCAAATATATGCTCGACTTTTGTTTAATCTTCTTAAAAGCAGCCATTTTCTTAAATTTTTAGACATTTGTAAACAAAAACAAAATTTTGATTTTAAATTTCTTCCTAAAATAAATTTATATATTTTTGACACGTTATTTGAGTAAAATTAGAAAATTTAAAGTTAAATTAATCTGATATGAAACAAAGAGTACTTATAGCATAAAAATTTGTATCCAAACATTTCTTAACGATGTGTCTGAATTTTTTCATGTCTTTATTCACGTTATCAAAGAAATCGATTGTGACAAGGTGATGACAGAGGTGATGATCAAAATTGACAATTTTTGCAAAGTAAGCGAACATGGTTTTTCGTTTTTAACTAGTACTTTTTAAATATTACCATTTTTATTCAGCAATTATGTAATATCTATTTTTTTTTATTTCATACTTTCTTAATTAGATAATTGTTTAAAGTTTTTTTATTAATTAGATAATTGTTTAAAAAATTTTTAAGGATTGTCATGTATACATTTCCATACGTAGAAATTATTAACGTTTTTTTTTTTTTTTTTTTTTTTATTTAAATATTTGGGTACAAACAACTGTCTTGTGCTCTTCAAATTTCGATTTGTAAATTTACTTTTTCATTAACATTATCATTGCATTACGTGCTTAAAAGCAATAAAGAATTTTAAATGATTTTTGAAGTATTAAGAAGTTAATGAAAAAAAAATTTTAAAAAAATACATTATTCATCGAAAAAATTTTGTTTCTTCACAAAATAATGTCCTTAATATAACATATTTACAAAAGCAGGTCAAAGCTTTTCTAATTAATTAATGTCATACTTTTTTACTTTTTTTTTTCTCCTTACAATTCAGAGCAGATTTTCTATGAAATGGGTAACTGTTTTACAAAAAAAACCCCCAAAAAACTGATTTACTTTCTATAAAGAGTCCTGTTTATAACTAATAAAACAAATCCCGCGCTTAAAGATTTAATTTCTTGAAATTTCGTGAAAATATGTAAGTGGGTGGAAACATGCTTAAAATAAAATAAAAAAATCTCTTAACAAGATTTTCTAAAAAAAAAAAAAAAAAAAAAAAAATTTCAGAATAATTTCATTCATTTCTGAATACGTCCTGAAAGTTTCATTAAAATCCGACAATTATTTGATTTTTGCAAGAATTTCCTAAATTAACGTGTTTTCCTCGGGGGGGGGGGAGCGTAAAATAAAACAAACCTTTTTTTTCTCTCCTAATGCGCTGTCATGAAAAAAACAAAAAAATTATTAACCAAAATTTTCTATGTGCTAGAAAGGAGTAAAAAAAAATTTAAAAAAAATACTTTGGTCTTTCCTCTTCATAACAACATAAACATATTGTTTTTGTTGATTTATGGACCTTTTTTCATCGTGATATGCTGCTTCTTTCTTTCTTTTTTTTTAACGTGACCTAACGGAGGTACCTATTCTTGTTGATCTTGTTTTGTCTTTGAGGATGATGTGACCTTCCTTGAAGCACTGGAACCATTTTTGTGCCACACATTCATTGACAGTTCCTGGACATACATTCCACATCCTTATTTTCTTTTGGTACTGCCCTTGCACCCACCTCTATTTTTTTTTTTGTGTGTAGAGTAAAATGGCTCTAATTGCAATTTTGTTTGCCACTCATTATCAAAGCTGTAAAACAAAGAATAAACGATGTTATATATGAAAATAACAAATGACCAAATTGGTAATAATTGGAGTTGTATCAAAGTAATATGACATTGAGATACAACCTTCCAAATAAGTGAAAATCTGAGAAAGCTTTTGACTCAAGCTAGTATTTAACCAGATGTTCTTTGACATTAGGAACTTTCAAATCATGAGCCAGTAGATTTAAGATGTGCACTGTACTGAACATCCATAAGTCAAAAACTCAATTCTTTCTTCATTCTGTTGATATTAGATGCATTGTCTATCACCACACTACTAACATGATGTCTATAGTTACAGTAAACATCTCTCTAAGTACAGATATTGCTGCATAAAAGTAGGGAAATGGATCATTTTTAGATTCTTTGTTCATTCTTACAAATGGGATGAATATTTCCCACAATGAAAATGACTGTACCTTTTAACCAAATAATGAATGATAATACCTTGGTAAAAAATTTTTTGAGATTGTAATTTAATGAAAAGTTGCTAATTTTTTGGAAGGGAGTCCTTTACTAGAAATTTTTTTTTTTTTTTTTATTTTCAGTTCTGAAAAATATGATTCATCTTAAAATTCTCAGCCAGAAATTCACACAAAATCAACAAGTGTAAGGGAGATAATCAGGAATTTGTTTATGCATTAATATAATATATTGTTTCTTCCTATTTGTTTCTTTTAATTTACTTTTTACTTAAGTTATTTGGTATCTGTCTATATCTCTGAGAGGAGGAGGTATTATGATTATTTATATTATTCGGACTGTTAACCTCATCTTTATTGCCATATCCACAGCTACGTTCTGGCCTTCTTCAGGTGATTGGAATTTTGACCAAACCCTTTATTACGTCCACCGGGGTAGATTGTTCTAGTACCACGTGCCATGCCTCTTTCGGATGTCTCAATTATTTCCCTTTAACTCAACACTCCAAGTTTTGAGTCACCACTGCTGTGGCCTGGTATTGAACTCACAACTCTTTGGGTCTAGTGGATAAAGATGTTGGTTAGATCCAGTGTCTCATTCTTTTTTTTTTTTTTTTTTTTTTTTTTTATCTCAATTCTTCAGTTTATCTCTTTAGTATAGTGAATAGAATTTTTAAAATTCAAAACTAATGACAAGTATATCACAGCAACATTCCTGCTGATGTTGTAATAACATATTCAATATAGAGTTTATTTTTTTTTATTAAAAAGAATTCTTTTGCTGTACTTTTTCCCCACTTTACAGAATAAAAATAAACAGTGGCTCAAATATCATATATTAAATGTTGGCACTCAGACCAGAATTCAACATATCTAATTACTGCCATTCAAAGAATATATAAAATAGGTTATATTTGCATGTCTGTCTTATTTGATTATTTGATTTTTTTTTCTCCATATTCTTTAAAAAAAAGATTCTGAAGATAAAATAATT